AAACAATCAGAGTGGAAATAATGAGAATGTTGACACACTGTGAAAAATGTAACCAATGTCACTGAACAGTATGTATAGATATTGTTAAACGGAAACCTAATTTGCTATGTAAACTTTCACCAAAAACACAATAATATATATAAAAAAGGAATTCGTAAAGAACCTTCTAACCAGTTACACGTGTGTTTTTCTCTCTATACTACCTTATACTCAACTAGCTGAGAAAGGTGGAAGCATAACTGCCATAATACCAAAACCGAAACTGTTGCCGCTGAGTCAATTCCGACTCATAGCGACCCTACAGGACAGAGTAGAACTGCTCCATAGAGTGTCCAAGGAGCGCCTGGTGGATCTGAACTGTCAATCTTTTGGTTAGCAGCCGAGCTCTTACCCACTGCGCCACCAGAGCTCCGTAATTGCCGTAGAACTTTATTTTTACGGAGTGCTTTCTGTTTCCGTCTAATTATGGACACACACACACACACACACTCTCTCTCTCTCCATCTTTGTCATTAATTTGTTTTTTTCAGATTCTTCATAGGTTCTAGGCCCTTTGGGATTCTGACTTGAGAAGGAAGTCAGTATGCCAAGTCTGGGAACACTGTGTTCCTCAAAGCCCTGAGCTATTTCTTCCTTTTCAATAGAGAAAGTAACAATCAGAAAATTGGCTTTTCAAATCACCAACCTGACTTTAACATGACAGAGCCCTAAGCTGGGGAGGAAATAAAAAACACAAACACGGGATTGCGGCAATGAGCTGTTAATAAAGCAAAAGCATGTTGAAAATGAAGGTTTCTTAAACCACAGCACTAAAACATGTAACATACATGTTTTCTCATATTCAAGCTTCTGCTTTTAAACAAAGGCAAAACAAGTTGTATGTATACTGCAAAGTAGAAAGGAAGATTTAAAATAGAAATAAAATTTTCTCTTTCTTTTTTAGAAAGAATATTGTAGACATAAAAGGTAAAATTCACAGCTGCGAGAGACAGAGGGCTACAAAGATGGAGTCTTTTGCCAAGTGTGCTTTATAAGATTTACACAGAATAAGTCTACAGTTTCCCTGCTTCTTTTTAATTAAGGAGGAGGTGGTATTCTAAGGACGCTATCTGGACACTGCTGGCTGAGAAGCAGATTTGATCTCCACATGCTGGTTAGCCAACATTGATTTTCTGCCCCAGTGGAAGAGATTTTACTCTGATGCATGCCATTTAAATTCATTTTACACAGCTGCTTAATGTGGCTTGGCAAGGCACAGCCAAACTAGTGTTGTGGGTCTAAATAGGACTCTCGAGTTGGTAAAGGACAGATCCTATGGTTTAGCAGCTGATGATAAATGCTTTTCTGCCCCCACTGTTATCTTCCCACTGACTCATGAACTGGCCTTGAAGGTAGCACAAGAGAGTGAAAAAGAGAAAAAGACAATTGCCCGAGAAAACAGGTATGCGCACCTCATCCTATATTTGCTCATTCACTTTTAGGATTACGCTTACAGAATTGTGTCTGTTGGTCCACACTTAAGACCATGTTTATAGGATTTAGAACTCTCAAATGCAAAATTATCTTTTGCTCTTGCTGCCTAAATAAATATATAAACCCAAACCCACTGCCATAGAGTCAATTCCGACTCATAGCGACCCTGTAGGACAAAGCAGAACTGCCCCACAGGGTTTCCAAGGCTGTAATCTTTATGGAAGCAGACTGCCACATCTTTCTCCCAAGGAACAGCTGATGAGTTTAAACCACAAACCTTTCGGTTAGCAGCT